GCCCTGGATTTCCATGCCAAGCCCATTAGAAACAACCCTAACTTGTTTCCCACAACTTTTAAGGTTCTTTTTCCTTAGAAACTCATGAACCAGCAAGAATACACATACTTTGAATTTGTCCTTGTTCCCTTCTTCTGAGAAAGTTCAAAACACGTGTATCTGTTGCACCTAATTCTCCAAGTGGGCGAGCTAGGTCTTAAACAAGGCTACTTGGGAAAAGAAGTCCTTGTGCATGAGAAAACAATCAGTGCCCTGGACTGCTGATCAAACACTTGCAGGTTTAAGTCCATTCAAAGGCAGCTTTGAAGAAAGACCTGGTGATCTATGTCTGACCAATCAGCCATTGAGAACCCTCTTGAGCACAGTTTTAGTCTGCCACAAGTGGGGTCACCATGAGTCAAGAGTCGGACCCCACGGTAACTGGTTCTTTTGGGGAGAATGCATTATTTTTAAACCCCTAAGACTAACACTTGAACATTGAATAAGCAATTTCTTGTTTGATATATATAGTATTAGTAATTACTAATCCATAAGTCTGTTTTTAATTCATTAATGGTATTTGAATGTCTCAGCCAGTGCTTTGAGGCTAAGATTCTAGGGAGCAGCAAGGAAAAGGGATGGTTTGGTTAGCCTACACAATCTTTCTCTGTTCAGCTTTTTAAAATACTGAGAGTAAGTTGTGGAAATCCATCACCACCTTTTTGAACTCCTAGATTCCCAAAGGTCAGCCACCACTGCCTTTGTCAACTCCAGAATAGTGCCTCTCAAACTTGAATGAGTCCCAGAATTCCCTGGAGTGATTATGAAAGCACAGATGACTGGGTCTCACCCCCTGAGTATCTGATTCTGTGGGTTTATGTTGTTGTTAAGTGCCGTCGAGTCGGTTCTGACCCATAGCGACCCTGTATGGGGTTTCCGAGGAGCAGCTGGTAAGTTTGAACCACCGACCTTGCAGTTCAAATGGCTTTGCAGTCTGGCGCATTAACCCACTGCTCCATAGGTCTATAATGGAGTCCAATAATTTTCATTTCTAACAAGTTCCCAGGTGATGCTGTAGATGCTGGTCCAGGGGCAAACTTTGAGACTAACTGCTCTACTTTCTCGTTTAGGACTCCTCTAGTCCTTTAACTTTACCTCTTGGTCTTTGCCCTTTAAAATCAATGGAGCTGGGTTCTCTCTGAACTCACACGCCCTACCCTGCCTGGAGGAAGCAACCCCTGTTAAGTGGAGTCAGGCTTCCCCGGAAAAAACATGGCCCTGACTCTGCTGCCAAATCTACCGCCCCCCAGCAGGGGCTGGTCTGTTCTGAGGAGTCACGCCTCTCTCTTTCTCTGACTTCTCATTGGCCTGATTTCCCCCGTTTTCCGGGACCCTATAGCAACAATCATGACGTTTTTCTGTTCTGTTCTACAAAGATCACCATGAGTCGAAGCCGACTTGGTGACACTTAGCAACAACAACAAATTGGAGGATGTGACTAGAATACAGGAGGCTTGTTCCTATCTCGAAATCTCTATCTGAGCGCTAAGTAAGCAAATGTTTATACACACAGCTGACCTAAATTAGCTAGAGCTGTGGGGACAGAAGTAGGAACAACAGAAACTGAACTCTAAGGCGAGAACATGAATTCCCTTGTGAGAAGAGATTAATCTTCCTCTAGGGGAATGGGCTAGATGTGTGGCGGACTCAATTTACAACCACGTTTCAATTTTAAAGCAATTGATTTATTATTATTTTAATTTGGAAACTCAAACTTCTTGTTCAACTTAAATGTCAATGTCCTTTAAATACAAAATTTTGCCATTTGATACACCCAGGAATAGTGGCAAAAGAGGTCCTGTATGTATTTTCCAAAAAGTCATCTGCTGATGGGAGAGAAAGTCATCATGGTTCTTACTGGCCTGTTAGGGGAGGTCACCAAAATCCACATTCTCAAGAGTCATGGAAACAGGCAAATGTCTAATCCAGGGCCATGCCAGGGTAGTTTTCATTAGCCTGACATGAAGCCTGTGCCCCTATATAATGCCTCTTAAGCGCCAGGGGGAATACCGTGTGGTAAAATATGGTGTGTGCATCTCTTTGGCTTTCTTTCAAAGAGCTTGCTACACAGACATAGCTTTCTCCCACGCTGTGGTAGAGAGATCTAAAGCCCTCCTGGCATCAAAGACCTGGATTGTGTGAATCATTTCACAGGGGAGTAGTTAATACCAAGAAGTGACGGATTTTAGCTCTACAAAACTAAGATACAGAAAGTTGCAATGTTTCTTAGAACTATTAACAAGCTCTGCTAATAAAATTGGAAAAGTCTTGGGGACAAAAGGCCAGATAACCTCCCCCTCCTCCTAAGTCCCAAACCCAATTGGAACCAATTAAGTTTAGAACGCAAAGGATAGCTCAAGAAATTCATATACCATTCCCTCAGGGGAGACTTCCTGAAGAAAAGGATGTGTGATTCTTTTTAACCACAAGGTCGGTAGTGTAAACCTACCAGCTGCTCTTTGGAAACCTTGTACAGGGTTACTGAGTTGAAACAGACTCAACAGGCTTAACAACCTGTTGTTAAGGCAACACTAGGAGTCCTGGTGTGGCGCTGTCGGATACTTGAACTGCTACTTACAAGGTAGCAGTTCAAGTCCACCAGCCACTTCTCAGAAACCATATCCAGGGTCGCTATGAATCGGAACTAACTCAACAGCACTCAACAACAAAGCAACACTAAAATCAAGTCCTTTCCTAAATCATGTGATTATCCACACCAATATATAATTAATGTCTTAGCGTGGGGCATTGGAGCCCTGGTGTGACGCTGTGAGTTAATGCGCTGGACTGCAAAGTCGGTTTGAACTGCAAGGTTGGCAGTTGAAGCTCACCAGCCGCTCCTTGGAAACCCTATATAGGGTCTCTATGGATCAGAACCAACTCTACAACACTTAACAACAACAGTGTGGGGCTTTAAGATAAACACTGGACTGCTAACCAAAAGGTCAGTGGTTCAAACCTACCACCCACTCCTCAGAAACCCTATATGGCGTCACTATGAGTGGAAACTGACTCAACAGCACTTAACATCAACAGTTAAATGACCACCAGGCTATAGTGCAGGTAAAAATCCATCCATACAAATTTTAGACAGATTCAGAAGGGCTTACTGGACTTAAACCAGACCTTATATGATCTGGTTGCCTGGTGAGATGGGAATTGTTTTTCAGAAGACTCTAAGTATAAGCTGCAACTGTGCTCAGCAGCAGAAAAGGGCTGCCCCTTGCTAAAGATGATGGCAAGAACCAAAACATAAATGCGTGAGTAACCCAGCAAAGCTGCGGATGTCTCCCAATGATTTCTGAGAGGTATGATTTCTTGGATGCCATCTCAGATGGCAGGATCTGCAGAGAAGGTGATTTTAAGAGTGATAAGCAACAAACCAAGAGAAGGGAGTGTTTGGTTAGGAAATGTGGCATTCAGATAACATATTCTTTTTGTGTTTTTTTCCAACATGAAGGGGAGTTTCTTAATCTTTGGTCAAAGGGAAGAGAAGGATGCTTGTAATCAAGCCAACTAGCTAAGACTATTTTCCATATTCCTGGTCAATATTATTAATGTTGGGATATGGGAGGGAGATTTATAGGGGGCATGCCTTAGTATAGCTTCCCTAACAGCCTTCTGAATAAAAGATATAATACTACCAGATTCCAGATCTATAATTCAGTCTGCTTGAAGTCCAGCAAGTCCTTCTGAAAAAGTGCTCTAATTTAGTATGATCTTAAAGGCTAAATGAGGCATACACCCACATCAGCTCACACATACACAGTCACACACATGCCCACACAATAGCTTCAAGTACCTTTGTAGTCAGAAACCCAACTTTGATGAAACCAGCTAAGGTTTGGGAGTATGTTTCCTTGCCTGGCATGTAAGAGTAGATATCTGTTGGAATCATAAACTCTGGTCATGTGACTCATCAACTTGTCCAGACTCCATATGCTGAAAATATCAATGCATTTTTGTAATGCCTGATCAACCTCATCACTTTCAATAGTGATTGTTTGGGATTCTTGAATAAGATTGTCCAGGGAAAAAAAGTAAGATTGTTCAAGAAAACCAATAAAAATGTAGAATCTTGCAGAATGATGTTCTACTTCTTTGCTGAGTCAAAAGGACTTGAGAAATACTAGGAGACAGTAACGAGGAGCAGCCACATGCAGTGAGGAAAGAGAAGCTGACATCCCACCAGTTCACACAACTACAGTGGTCCAAGTTCTTTAAAGCTGTAGTGTGTTGTTGTGTCTTCCAGTTGTTAGATGTTTTTGAATATTAACTAGGATATCAGAAACCCTATGCTCCTAGTCTTTGCTGTGTGTCTAAGCAAATAAATCTATATTTGTGGACCACAATTTCCCCATTCTAGGTAGAGTAGGAGTTTGCATTCACCGTCTCCAAGGTCCCTTCCAGCCCTCAATGTCTAATTCTGTGTTTCTCCCTCAACACTGCTGGTTGTGTGTGTCTAACCAGCCCAACCGTTTTCCAATAGCTTTGGATCAGTCACTTGTATCTTATACAAAATTCAAATTTCTTCTTACAATAGGAATCTTACACTGATCACAGCCATCCATCAGGTTTCTGTATCCAAGGGTAGAGCAAGGTCAAAGAGCATCTTAGCTATCCCAATCTATGCCTCTCTCTCAAACAAGAGCATCACTTTCCTACAGGTTCCTGTGTTTCCACAGGAACTTGGAATGCCCTGCCTCCACCTTCTATTCCTGTCGCAGAGTCTGCCTCTACTGCTCCTCGGGTTATAGACCTAAACCCCACCCCACTCTATATTCCAAGATGGTAGGGAAGCTGGTGCTCTCTAAGGCTGTCCTCTTTCATTGCTTCTTGGCCTAATGAAGGCCAATCACTCCCATACTCTGCATAGCTCAGCAAGCCCACCAGCCAATATTGTGATGTTGATCAGTTCACTTAACTCCCCCTCTGCTCACGCCTTTGTTTTTCTGTTTCAGCACTGAAAAGTCCAACTGAATTCCATGAACAAAGGAAAACTTTGGATAGTGACAAGGTACTTTTTGTGAACTGCCATTCTTGGACTTAAGGTAGACTTGGGATGTGCATCTCTGAATGCTAAACTTTGGCTAAAGCAGGTAGAACTGGGATAATAAATTCAACCAAGATGCCAGTCACCTGCCCCCAAATCATATGAAGTCTGACATCGATCTAGTAACTGAAAACTGATGAAAGGGGCTCTCTTCTATTAGCTTTGGGAGCAGTGATGGATTCCATAGTAGATGTCTTCTGAGCAAACACTACCTTCTCTGCCAGTGAACACTTGTGTATTGCTATGATGCTACATAGACCCTGTACAGGGTTGCCATGAGTCGGAACCAACTCCATGGCACATAACAACAACAAATAGACCGAGAGAGACTAGGAAAAAAGATCTGGTGATCTACTCCTGAAATTCATCCAATGAAAATCTTACGAATCACAACAGTCCAATCTGTAACCAATCTGAGGAATGGCCCAGTGTCGGGTTGCATTTGACTGTGTTGTGTGTATTGTGTTGTGTTGTGTATGTTGTGTATGTGATCATTACCATGAGATAAGTACCAACTCTATGGTAGCTAACATCAACAACAGTAAGTTTAGCCTTTTTAAAATATTAGTGCTATTTTCAAAATATTTAAAAAATATTGGTGTCATTTTTTTAACTTAAAAAAATCTTTTTGATTTGGAGCTCTGGTAGCGTAGTGGTTACGAATCGGGCTGTGAAACTTAAGGTCAGCGGTTCGAAACTACCAGCCACTCTGCGGGAGAAAGATGAGGCTTTCTACTCCCGTAAAGATTTACACCCTCGGAAACCCTGTACAGGGTCGCTATGGGTCGGAACCGACTCAACGGCACTTAACAACAACAACAACATGGCCAGAAAGTCTTAGAGACATGAAAAAGGAGAAGTAATGCCGCTTTGCTTTTTATTACAGTCCTTTCTTAGTCACAGATTTTTTTCTTAATACAATTCATTGATACGGCAACTGACATATTGCATTAGGCAAATGCGCCATGCAAGACCTCTTTAAAGTGTTCAAGAACAAAGATGCCAGTTTGAGGACTAAGGTGCGCCTGACCCAAGCCATGGTATTTTCAATAACCTCATACGCATGTGAAAGCTGGACAGTGAATAAGGAAGACCATAAAAGAATTGATGCCTTTGCGTTATGGTATTGGAGGAGAATATTGAAAGTACCATGGACTGCCAAAAGAACCAACAAATCTGTCTTGAAAGAAGTACAGCCAGAATGCTCCTTGGAAGCCTTTCATACTTCAGACATGTTGTCAGGAGGGACCAGTTCCTGGAGAAGGACATCATGCTTGGTAAACTGAAACATCAGCGACAAAGAGGAAAACTCTCAGTACGATGGATTGGCACAGTGGCAGCAGAAATGGGAAGCTGGTGCAGGAGCGTGTGTGTTTCATTCTGTTGTGCGTAGGATCTCTATGAGTGTGAACGGACTCAACAGCACCTAACAACAGTAATGGGCACAGAGCTTATTTTCAGTTTAGCACTGTAGGGTAAGCACTGGACTGCTAATTGCAAAGCTGTTCAAACCCATCAGCTGGTACTCAGAAACCCTATAACGGATAACTATGAGTCAGAACTGATGTGCCAACATTCAGTAACAACACAACAAAGGCAAAAGGAATTCTATTTCTTTCCCTTAGTTTCTTTTTGTTTGGTTGAGTTTTCTTTTTTAACCATTTGAAGTTAAAATATTAGCAGACTGTCCGCAACACCAGAATAAGCATCTGAAGCCTGATGCCATCAATAATTATATAAGTGCCATTTTGCAAGCATCAGTGTCGAACTGAATGAGAAGGAAAAGCCAATAAGGTGTTGCTCTGCTGGAAATTCTTTGCCTGAGAGTTCTAGCCATGCTAAGAGTCTGTCCTTGGGGATGAGGAGCAGGTCTCTGCATCTCTTCACAGTTACTTGTGAGTGGAAATGAATTGAATAATGAACAGCAAGCTTTGTTTCCTCAGAACTGGAGTGAGCTCCAGAACTCTCCCAGGTATGAAGAGGAAATAGGACCCAGTGGGATAAAGCCCCATTAGTGGACATCAGGCAGAGGGGGCGAGAGGGGTGGCACAGGGGCAATGAAAGGTCTGTGGTAGAATTCTCACCAGAGAGCTGGGCTTGGTTCCCAGACATTGTACCTCCTGTCTGTCCTCATGCTGTTGCTATGATGCTGAGCAGGTTTCAGGAGAATTTTCAGACAAAGCCAACTAGAAGGAAAGTTCTGATAATCTACTTCTGAAATCAGCCAATGAAAACCCTCTGATCACAATCACCCACCATCTACACAATCGCAACTAACAACAACGACAAGAGAAATCAGGGGCCTGGGTCTTTCTAATCTTGGCCTTGCTGTTGTCTACATCCTGTCCACAGATAGTTCCCTGATCAAGACGGTATTGAGAAGAGCATTGAAAGTACCATGGACTGCCAGAAGAGCAAACAAATCTGTCTTGGAAGAAGTACAGCCTGAATGCTCCTTAGAAGCCTCTCATAGTTCAGATGTGTTATCAGGAGGGACCAGTCCCTGGAGAAGGACATCATGTTTAATAAAGTGAAACATCAGTGACAAAGAGGAAGACGCTCAGTCAGATGGATTGACAGCCTCAGCAGCAATAGGTTCGAGAGTTTCTAGGTGCTCTTTCAACTCATTGTCGTTCTGAATCTACATGCTTTACATTATAGCATGCTCTAAGAGAGGAAGACTCATTAACAACCTGAGAGATGCAGATGATACAATCTTGCTTGCTGAAAGTGAAGAGGACTTAAAACATTTAATGATGAAGATCAAAGAGCACAGCCTTTGGTATGGATTACATCTCAATATAAAGAAAACAAAAATCCTCACCACTGGACCAATAAACAAC